GATTGTGTCCATCATCAGTCAGTGGTGTGTTTTCTGTCAGAAGTGGCTCACGGTTCAATATCTGTGTGTGAAAGATGCAGTGAAACCTGCTCTCTCCCCACAGCAGTGCAGTTCCACCCCGAGAGCATCAGTGGGTTGTCTGTGTGTGCAACAAGGTTTTTAGCAGGGCCTGTTGCAGTAGGAGAAGCCACAATGGTTTCTAAGTAAGGGAGAGTAATCTTAGACCAGATATAAGGAAGAAATACTTCACAATGAGGGCGGTGAGGCACTGGCACAGTGTGCAAGGTGTGAACATGGATTCTTGTGCAGTGTGGGGGTTATTTCAGAATTCCATGGGAACCTGCAGCAAGTTGATCCTGCAGGAACAGGATGATCCCGGGGTGAATGTAGAGCCAAGGCTGAGGCAGGTGAGCAGTGCTGAGGTGCCTGTCACTGATGGCTGGTGCTCAAACAGGCCTGGGAGCTCTGCTTTGGCAATGGGTGCTTGTCTCTGAGACTCCGAGTGCACCTGACACTGCTGTGGGGATTCCTGTGTGGCCTGGGATGTGTTCTGGGTGGTGCACAAATACATGTTCTTGTGCACATTGATTCCTCTGGTGTGTGCTCAAAGGAGAGGGCAGAAAGGTATCTATGAGAAGAAAAAAAGGTGAGTGAAGTTGTTTGTGTAATGTGGATTTTTAGTGTTTGAAATTGGGAAGCTCAAGGTGGGGGAGTTGCCTCTTAAACCTGCTTATAAATGTCAGCTCTGCTGTGATCTCAGTGTGATTATGACCTTGGCAGCTGTTTATTTTTGCTCTCAAGGTTTTATCAGTAGCAGAGAGTTTCTCCAGGTGGATACTGGTTTGGTTTAAAATTTTATTTTTTTTTTTTTTTTATGGGCAGGATGAGCAGTTGGGATTAGTGTCAGTGAAGCAAAATGTACAAGTAGTAACTGGTGTCGTGCTGCAAGATCAGAGTGACCACTGAGAGAATGGAATGAGTTTGTGCTGTCTCTATAATCCTTTGAAGCCTCTTAGTGCCAGTGCTGTTACCCCACAAATACAGATGTGTCCTGGCACAGAAGGTAGTGCTGAATAGAATTTCACATTTCTGGGATGTTTATCTCCAATACTGTTTCCTCCATACTTTGAGATTAAAATAAATCTTGAAAAAAGGATGAATGGAAGGGCCTAGAACTGCACCTTGGCAGAGGGGGAACATCCCTGGTGGTGCTCCTGGTGCTGGAGCTGCTGTGTCAGGGGTCTGACCTTCCCAAGAGCAGGTTGGGGGAGAGTCTGGGCCTGTGAATGGTGGGTCATTTTAAAGAGTTATTTGATTTTTTTTTTTTTCCTTCCCTCCAAGCCTCCACGCAGACACATGTTTTTTGCTACATCATTATTTTGATACCCGGTGGTTTGTTCTGCTGGTTGTGGGTTGTTTGCCAAGGGCCTTGGAGCAGCAGAGCTCAGGAATGGTGAGTCACCCTCCCAGGGCAGAGAAAATGTTTGCTTTTGCGGTGTCTGGAGGGCTGAGGGATGGCTGGTATGATGGATTTCTCTTTTATTTGTTACAATTCCTCTCCAGCTGCAGCGTGCAGGGGACTTTTTTTTTTTTTTTTTTTTGCTGGCATTTTCAGAAACCATTGTTCTGCAGCTCCCGTAGCAGCCCTTGTCCTTTGGGTGACCCGGCCATTTATCCAAAATGTAAATGCACATGGAAGCTGTTTACTTCTCTCGTGGCCTTTCAGTGCTTTTGAGTCAGCCCAGAGCAGGCCGGAGGTACAAGGTTGTTTTTACCCACCAGGAGAACACGTTGTGCTGGGCCCAGGGGCAGGGGCTGGAGTGTCAGATGCAGGGAATAAAACAAAAATAAACCCAAACCACAACCAGCAGACCCCGTGTGACACTGGAGCCTGATGCTCTGAGGCAGCACAAGCGTCCCCAGGCCCTGAGCAGAGCTGACCCAAAGCAGCTGCTGCTCCCATGGAGCTGCAGTTTGCTCCCAGATATTTGTATTTCTGGCCCAGGATGTGCTGTGGTTCTACTGAGCAAAACACGAGAGAAAAAAAACCAAAAAACCCACGACTATTTTTTCCCCAGTGTTTGTCACTGGTTAATCAGTAACCTTTTCTTTCTGGCAGGAATCCTTGTAGGATTCTGCCCTCTCCTGCCTGTGAGGCACATGCAGGGCTGGTCCCAGTGCCCACCTGCTGCTGGGGTTGCCTCACGTTCTCCCAGTCCAGAAAATCTGCTGCTGGAGAACCATGAAAAGTGTTTGGTTCAGTCAAACTGCTTGGTGTCCTCCTAATATCTTCTCAGGCAGCTGGGTTTGTGCTGCCCTGAGCCCTTTTTCAAAGCTGTCAGACCAGTAGCTGTAAGAAATGGGCTGCAAGAAAGTCAAACCAGTAACAGGAGTGGGGAGCTGGAAGTGGTTTGTCCCAGCCCTGCATTTGATAAAATTGAGGATCATAATGTGGAGTCAGAGTGTGCTGTCAGCTGGAATGCTACAGCAGTACTGGAATCTGAAGCTCTGGGCACATTATTTTGGGTTCTTTTTTCCAGAAAAATAAGTTCCTTCTTTGTAACAACTCTGCCTTTAGGAACACAGGAGTTTGGAATACAGCCTTTGCTTTTCAAGAGAATTTTAAATGTATATTTGTTGTGTGTGTATATATTAAAAAAGTAGTATAGAAGCATAGACATGCACTGTTATTCTTTGTTAGAAGAAAAGTTGTGTAAGTGGACTTTAAGCAATTGTTGACTTAATTATGTGTTTTAAGTTTGCTTTTTTTTTCTTTTTCCCAAATATCTGTGCAGCAGCCTGTAAGCTGAAGAGTGTCACTGAAACCTGCTTTTTCAGAGCCAAGCACCACAGGTGAAATCATTGTGACCAGCAGATTGAGGCTGGTTCCTCTGAGGAGAAAAAAACAGAGCAAGGGCCTGGAGGAGTTGTCAGCTGAGTGGGCTCTGCAGTGAAGCAGGTTGGTACTAAACTGTGTTTTAGAGAGAGAAAGAAGTAAAAAAAAATAAAATATATATATATCGTTGGGCTAAGACCTTAAGATATTTTACTGAAAATAGATAAATGTTAAAGCATCCTGCAAGTCCAAGGAATGAGCAAATAGATCCAAAGGTCCCTGTCACTGGGAAATGTATGACTGTTTCCTGAGTTTGAGATGTGGCCCATTTAGCCACTTAAGCTTCTCCCCACAAAAATGTTAAGCACTGCACTGCTCTGGAAAACAGCCCTGGGGACTGGAGCTGCTGGGATGTATCATCACAGTGATTTACTGGGAATCTGTTCAGGAGCAGAGGAGGAGGATGTTGTTCACATTTGCCCCGTGCTCATCTCCGTGCAGGAACACCTCACCACGGAGGCCCTGTTGGAACCAGAACTGTCCATGACCCAGGAATGATGGCAAGGGAAGGGGTATTTCACTGGGAACAGCCCACAGTGAGATGCAGAGGGACACAGAGAACTTCACCCCTGGCTTGTGCAAAGTGTCTAAAAGTTACTGAGTTTCCTTTTTTCCAGTTTCTTCTGGGACTTTAGGAAGTGATGACATTCCCTTCCTGGAGAGGCAGCAAGTGCACAGGTGAGTTATCTCTGGGCAGGGGAATCAGACCTGATTGCACAGTCACTGGGCAGGGGAGGTTCCAGCAATGACAGTGGTGACATGTTCCCTGGATTTGTACACCTTGGCAGGAGCAGGGGATTGAGCACAGTGTGCCAGGGGGAGAGGACAGGAGGAGAGGGAAGGAGAGGATAATAAAGTGGAGGAAGGGGGAATAAAAGGGAGGACAGGAAAAGGGAGGGAAGGACAGCAAAGGGCAGGAAAGATAGGAAAGGATGGGAAAAGGAAGGGAAAGGGAGGACAGGAAAATAAAGGGGAGGAGAGGACTGGGGAAGACAGGAAAGGGAAGGGGAGTAGCGGAAAAGGAAGATAAAGAGAGGAGCTGCCACCACCCACCTGTCACACGTGTCACTTCCATGTTGTGTGTGAGGCACCTCTTTCCCACTTAGAGACAGTTCTTCCTTCCTGCCCCTGCTGAGCTGTTATTTCACCTACTCTTTGTTACACTTGGAACAGGTTTTTTTACACAAATGAGATCCATTGGCCACTGTGGCTCCCTGAGTTCAGAGCACTCCAGGGGTGACTGTTCAACCACTGCTCTGCTGTTTGCACGTCATCTCTGCATGAAATGGTTACAGACCCCAGGGATCCAACCCATCCCTGTAAATGCTCAGCACGGCACAGAACTGCTCCTTGTTTTCCTTCCCCCCCTCCAGCAGGCAGGTATTTTACACGAGTTCACAACTGGTTTCATTCTAACCTTCAGTACCAAAATACTCCCATGTGCCTTTATGAAAGGACTTTACTTTCAAGTTAATCTTTTAAAGCTGCAACTCAAAGGTTTACCAAATAACTAGAGGTTTACCTTAAAATTTAGGTTACTCAGCATTACAGGGAAGTTGTATCTTCACTCCAGGGAGTGACACTGAGGGTTCCAGTTCCTGTGGGTTTAAGGTGTTAAAGGACACTCATTCCTCATCTTCAGCGTGGTTATGGTTAATGAGACAAATATTGATTTAATGTACAATGTTGGAAAAAAACATGTTATTTTTATTATTTTAAAACTCTACTTTTGAAGATGTTGTTGTGAAGTCAAACAAGCTGGTGATTTCCTCTCCCCCCCCTTCCAGGCACTACTCCCCCCAGCTCCAAACCCTCCCTGCATCTGAGAGAGGGGAAAACCTGAACTTAGAGATTCCATTTCCAAGGCTCCTCCCTTCAACTGTTTTAGAAACAAGTCAAAGAAGGAGCCTTGAGGTGCACACTGTGAATACAAAACTGAATTAGTTAGTCCTCACTGTAATATTCACCAAAATGCAATTTTTGTTTAAAAAAAGAGGCTGACATTTCAGTGAAACACCAGGTCTCTGTGCACTCACCTGTACTAGTGAGTTAGCAGAAAAAAAACCAACAAAAATCCCATTAAACTACCCCAACCAATTCACCCTTCTCACAGTGTTAAAGCTCCAAACTACCTGTACTCCAATAGCTGAAATTAACTCTTAATTTTATGTTTTAAATGTTTATCTACTTTCCTGCACTTTGAACAGCAGTTTTCTCAAGGGAAAAAAAAGACAGAGAGAGAGGAGGGCTCATGTCAGGTAGTGCAGTACGACTCAGTAGAGCTCCTTTAATTTCTTTACACAGTAAACAGACTTGTATTTATACCAACACCCGCCTGCCCGCTCCTATTTACATGGACACTTGTACATATATACATGTTAGCAAAATACAGGGCTTCTCCCAGACCCAAAGCTGTGTCAGCTACACCTCTGTTACACACCTAGTGCTTGAAAAAGAAAAGCCACCTCTCCTGTTTTCACTAAATACTAAAATTATATATTTTTTTTTTCCTTCTCAGTTCTGGCTCCAGCCTGGTGCTTGCAGGTCACTCTGGCAGTGAGGAAGTGAGTTTTCAAGAGTCCAGCTCGAGTTGTTCTGGGTTTTCACTGAGTCTCAGCATCAGCTGCTGCTCGTAGTAAAGGCTCTTTGCATAGTTGATTTCTTGAGACAGCTTTACTGCCAGGGCTTCTGATTTCACTTTCACCTGCAGAAAGAAAGGGGATTTTCGTTTCCTGCCGTCAGCTAAAGCAGAAGAGATTTTAGATTTGAAGTGAGGAACAGAAAGGTGTCAGTGGAGATCCCTGCTCAGTGCTGAGGCGGAGGAAGAAGAAGCAAGTGGAACACCAGGTGCACACAGACAGGTACTCAAGGGTGAGAGCAGGAACATCTTACATATCTGAGGTTGTTTCCTTTGCTTCCCCTCCTACCTTTTATCTGGCTGCTCTGTTTGGAATGTAAACTGCCTTGGGTCAGGGGTGAGCTTGTAACTGGGCCTGTAAAACAGCCCCTGAGCAACTACTGTAATGGCACAAAAAGCCCTGTAATGGGCTTTAGAAGAGAAAGCCTTGATTAACTTTTATATGCTTGACATAAACACTGTTTCCAGTCTTAGAGACCTCACAGCAAAAAAAACACTACAAGCAGGAGATGAGTAAAAAGCCAGCAAAGTACCCAAGTTCCATTGATGTGGTAAAGTTAAAAGCCTTTCATAGGTAAACACATGTTTCTTCCTGTTACTTTTCTGCCTGAAGGAATATTTTAGGGTTTGCCTTTCTTTCCCTTTCTCAGGAGTTTAGGGAGTGCCTGAAGTTGAATATTAGGAGAAGGTGGCTGGGCACTGAACAGGGTGGCTGGGCACTGAACAGGGTGGTTGGCACTGAACAGGGTGGCTGGGCACTGAACAGGGTGGTTGGCACTGAACAGGCTCCCCAGGGCAGTGGTGCCAGAGCTCAAGGAGCGTTTGGACAATGCTCTCAGGGACAGGGTGGGATTGTTGGGGTGTCCTGGGCAGGGCCAGGAGTTGGACTAGATGATCCTGGTGGCTCCCTTCCAGCTCAGGATATTCTGATTCTTTCAGCCCCACACTCAGTGAAACCTCAGCACAGCTGTTCCAGTGCTGACGGAGCCAACCCTTGGGGCACACGAGGGGAAGGAGGTGCCAGGAGCTCACCATGGGTCTCTGCTGGGAGGGGCCTGGCATGGCCACCCCGCTGCTCGTGTTCACAGCCTTCTTGGTGAGCTGGATGTAGACGTTGCCGTGGTCCTTGGACACCAGGCAGTGGTACAGGTCATCATACCTGACCTCCAGGAAGATGGCATCGCGGTCCGTGTAGTCCCCGCTCTTGAGGAAGTACACGGCCTTGGAGGAGATCAGCACACAGTAGCTGTCAATGTTCTCCACTGCTATGAAGCTGCAACAAAGGAAAAAAAACCAAAAATTATTAGCTTGGAGCTAAAACCAGCAAACTAACCCATGTCTTCACCTGTTTTGAGTGACCTCCAGGAGCGTGTCAGAAGATGTAGCAGTGTAACAAGTACGACTCATCTGTGTTTAATTTAAGCAGTTTAAAAGTGGAGCTGACGAAGGACCCTCTCCCCTAGTTATAAAAAGATCATGCTGTAAATCAAATATTAGTGCTAAATGCCTGGCAGCCAGCTTTGGGCATTACAGGGGCACATAAAAATGTCCTTTGACAAGGTTTAGGAAGAGTAATTTCCTTGCACTGAAGCACTGCAAGTCCTAATGCTGAAGCTTAAATGCAACCAACTTCAGTTCCAGAGCTGCTACGTGAAAGGTGTGCAGACATTTATGATGGGAGCATTATCCTTGTCCACACTGTAACCCTCCTGTGCTTCCCTGGTCCCCCTTCAAAACACAAAATAAGCTGAACCTGCTGCTGGGATCAGTAGCAGAAAAGAGAAATTAGCTGTTTAACACGGGGTGAGAGGTTAAGCAGCAAACAGGTTTCCCCAGGGAGATTAGGTTGAGTGATGAATAGGAAGAGGGAGAGAAGAGTGAGTCAGGAATATTGAGAGTTATGATGGCTGAAAAGGCTGGGGTGTAAAAAAATAACCATAAGAGATGCAAAAGTGCAATGGATGTTGCACACACAAATGCTTCTCCCCCACGTCTGATTTACTACTGAAATGAGCCTCATTAGTGGGGTTTTTAAATGCTGAAAAATTCAGCAACTTGAATTTGAAATAATAACTGGATAGAATAATGGAGTGCTAAATAGAGTAATAAAGCTCTGCCAACAGCCCCAGGGTTGAAGCACTGTAAAAGGAGGATTCTCCTGCTGTCAGGCAGGTTCCCAATCCCTGCCTTCTGAACCACTGCTTATCCAAACCTGAGTGCTGCTGTCCTCAGACATCCTGCAAAACACTCCACTGCCTTGGAAACCCAGGGAGTTTGTCACTACTCAGTGTTTTTTGGTGGCAGAGAAGCTTCTCATCTCCAAACCCACCCCTGGCTCTGCCATTTAAGTAACACTGTGCACAAACCACTCTGAGTTGCAGCCAAATAAACCCATAGCTATAAATGGAATGTTAGTAGCCAAAAATGTGGCAAGAGGTCAGGTCATGGTTTCTTTTTGTGGTGTAAAAGGGTAGCTCCAGCAATTTTTTATTCATAGTCCTCTCAAAGACACTGTTCTGCACTGAACTTGCCTTTCCCTCCTCACTCCCCTCACACTGAGAAAGGTGCCCCCACCAATTCCAACCCACACCATCATCTCAGTGCTGACAACCAGCCTAATTATAAAGGGCCTGTTAGAGCTTTGCCAGCTCTACCCTTGGACAGAGCTCCAGGATAGGATAAATGAACTGTGTTCCTTTAAGTAAAACAAACTGGGAAAAAACAGGGAATTTCAGCTCAAAGGAGCCCAGGTGAAAGACAACATTAACAGAGGCCCGGAAACCAGCAGCTGCCCCGCAGTTTTCTACCAGAGTTCAAACACTTCAGGGGAAGGTTCTGCCTTTGAAATTAGTTAAATAGGATGGAGAGTGACATTTTTTATGAAGTGCCACAGAAAACTTAATTTAGACCCGGAGCAGCACTACAGCTGCAGGGGAACAGCCTGGCCAGGCACATCAAACACCACAGGGTTTCCCAGAGAGCCCGGATCCGACGGGGTCACGGTGCCACCAGGGACACAGGGACATCCACGGGGAGCAACTGGGCACCAGCAGCTCCTCCAGAGTCCAGGGGAAGCACCTGGGCAGTGGGACTGCAGGGCTGTGTTTGCTCCACAAGAACAACAGATGATGTATCTACTTTCCCAACAAGACTTTTACTGGTGTCATGTATATATTGTGAGGAATGGAAACAGAGGTCAGT